AATGAAGGTAGCCTACGCTGAAAACTTGGCTATACTCATTTCTGCCAACAATTAGTGAGCTGATAGAATCGGCAATGGGCAGTGTTTTTACAACTGAGCAAAACGAAATGGGCAAGGAGTAAACCCTTCTAAAATCGAACTTGTCTGGTTCAAATAAAAAAAAAAGTCCGAATTCCCTTGCCAAATCTGGACGGAGTAGTCTGAACCTTTCCCCCGAGGCGAAAATCTTAGGTATTATCCTTGACTTCGAACTTATGTGGTGGTGAACGTAGAGGAAATAGCAAAGAAGGGCCCGCCGGCCCCTTTGGGAAAAACTGGGGACTGTCACCGCATATTATTCACGGTATTTACACCACAGTCATCCGACCGATTTTAGCCTATGAAACGCTGGTTTGATGGAAATCACTGGATAAAAGCAGCAATCAGAGAATAGTTGGAAGAGTGCAGAGACTCGGAAGCCTCTGTATATCAGGCGCCGTAAGAAACGCACTACAAGAAGTACTGAACATGATCTTTTAGTTGAGGCCACCACAAGTATTCCTAACAGGTGCAGACGCAAAGGGGCCCCTACACTGATGGAATCAAAATTGTGAGCGCTGATCTACTACAGGCACGCAGCGGTTTTGAAGGTGGTAAATAGTGAACGGAATCAAGGTCGACTTAGATGTCGAGACTGATTACCTCATGCCATCCTGGGATTTTAATTTTAAGATTGCTATACACTTTCCAACCCGGGAAAATTGGGAAGGTGGCCTCCTGACGGTAAATGATGGTATTTACATCTACAACGATGGCTCAAAGGTGGAAAGAGGATTAGTCTGTACTCCAAGGATCTTCAAATAAGGTAATCAAATCGCCTGCGTAATAACTGCAGTGTCTTTCAGGCGGAGATATTTGTCTCAAACGGGAGAGTAAGCCTTTGTTGTACAATGCTGGTTTTACTGGTCACGTCAAAACCTCTCACTGCTGGGTTCCTGGACGTAGCAATGTAGAAGAAAACGAAAGCTGATGAGATGGCTAGACACGGCTTGGATATATAAATTAGCGAAGCGAATAAATCCCTACTGCTACCGGAGGTAAAAATCGCAACATTCACGGCATCATCCAGGATAGTAAATAGTTTGACAAACTTTATACTGACAGTATAGATTAACCTCGATTAGAAGGATGTGCCTCCAGCAAGCGCTTACATAGAGGATTCACAATGGGCAAATCTGCCTCCGAGTGGAAGTAAGTACGAGTCATTCGTACGCGCCTTCCTAACCTAACCTAGATACTCATACCATGCAATGAGACAAATTGTGGTGCCTGAGGCCTGAAACATTGATATACTACTTCATAGTTCACTTGTAAGACAAAAGAAATGAAAGCATAAGTTTCCCAGACATTCAGTGTTGCATACTTTTAGGTATCCAAACCGTCGAACTATTTAAAAAAAGTGTTAGAAGCAAAGAACATAAGATATTTATTCCACCGAAGAGTGCTTTGGCGTTCATAGATTGTAGCGAGAGATCGTCGTGGAGTAAAATGTGACAGAATTGGTTGAACAAAAATAGTTGGCATTAACGCAGAGTAATTTAAAGAGAGATTACGACAAGTGTACATCGTGAAAATCTCACGAATTGAGATAAGGACGACAGAAACACTACATCTTGGTCGCTTTTGGTGAAAAGTCACAACGCAATTAATATGCAAAGTTTGTTAGAATGTTCAAAAATTAAATCACAGGATTTTATTACTTGTACTTGAATTAAACGAAAATTCGAAGATGACTCTCTTCCTCCACCCACTTGTACATAATCCTCTTGATACATATTGTATTTCCGTTTCACATTAAAATTTCATAGTCAAAGCAAAGTCATCATCATCACTATTTGACTGTCTCCATATTCACACACAAACAGAGTAGGCACGCAAACATTGAGACGAAAATATGCAAAAATACGTGTACTCCCCTGTACATCACCTAAAGTAGCGCCATAAAACAAGGCTAATGCGCCACTACAGATATATGTACGTACAACAAAATTCCTCCACTTCCCTGCTCCGCACGCAAACAAAACCGAAAGTTAAACGCTTTCGCTTACAACTTCTGTCTCTAACGACCTCCATTCAAACTCAGACACACAGGAAAACAAAACAAATAAAGTCTCCCCACAGAGCATAAAAGGGAGTAGCCAAAGCCATCAACAAAAAACTCCCACTGTTGTATGCAACCCCGACTCCGAGAGCCAGTGGAGTAGCATTAAAAGTGAGCGCATACCGAAAAGCAGCTTCCGTTTCCCGTCTAACGGGATTTCCCGCCACTGGTTTGCGCTATTTTGGGGTTGTTTGCTTAGTCATATTCGCCAGCTGCTCCCCACTGATGGCGGATGAGGTTGTGAAGTGGGAGCATTCATTCAAAGCATTGCGTTGCGTTGGAGCTGATGAAAATAAGATGGTCGGAGTAAGCTGGTTTTAGTGAAGTGAGGAGAGAAGAGTAGTGGAAAGCTGCGCACTTTTGGGGCAGCACAAATAAAGTTGAATCGAAAATTGGTTGGTCGGCATGTTTTGAATTTTCTAACATTTTAACGGTGCCGCCAAATTAACATAAATATGTATACTTCAATGGAGGGAAATACGCAACGGCCAAGAACTCATGTACAGTTGCACACATTTGTTGCACGCAAGGATGTGCGAGGAAGAAAAAAAGCTCTCGAGTGTTATTGTGTAAAATGCAAAAAATGTTTAGGATAGGTTTTTTTTATTTGGCCTGCATACAGCTGGGTAAACTTTTTCCAAGGAATTTCATTTCGAAGTTTAGCGTCTGTGATTGGAGTTTATTGGAGTTGATTGAGTTGGTTGGTGGTTTTTGTGGGGCGAATAGAAAAATAGGCAAAAAGTACTTACATACATACATAAAAAAGGTGGCGTACAAAAAACGGAAATCCGTTGGGAATCGATATGCGTTGTAATTTCCGAGCAAACAATGCGATAAATCATATTAGATTTGTTGTTTGTGGAGGCAGACAGGCGACGACGTGTGGGGGAGACTTTTTTTTAAGTATTTCCGATCAACTTTTATTAATGATTTCGGTTTTGTTTAACAAAACTTTGTCATATTGCTTGTCAATTGCGCATTTTTTGCATTTTGACAAGCAGCTCAATTAAAGAGATTGAAAAATTTTCGTTGAGTCTTTGGGGGCAATAATCGTAATCACATATATATATATATATATATATATATCGTAATTACATATTAGATGAATTTGAAAACTTTGCGAGGAGTTAGTGGTGAATTAGTTTCAACAAGTTAAATATAAAGAAGAAATTTGTGGCAACAACAAAGATGAAAAATCTTTGGGCAAGTTGCATACATACACAGGGTGTCTTAGCCCAACCGTCCACCGCTGCTAAAATGGAGGAAAATATTGTTTATTGGAAAATGGAAACGACCTTCGAACTTCAATTCGTCCTGGAGTTCCATTCCAGAAAAAAGTTTCTAACACAAGTTATGTATTTTTTCCGCAGAATGCAATTCTGTATGCCCCATTTAAAGAAATGGACTTCCAGCAAGTTGAAAATACTTCCTACCAACCCGACCACAAGCAAGGGTATTTCCGATCTGGTGATTCATATTTTTTCGTTTTCCAATAAAAACATTTTCGTCCATTTTAGAAGTCCAGGTTGGAAAAGGCACTTCCAAGAAAAAAGTTGAAAACATAAGTTATGTATTTGTATGTGCAGAATCGGAATCCGTGGTAAAAACATGTATATAACCATAAAAACTGTGCTTCCGGTCAGTTAAACCCACTTCCGGTCCAAACCAAAAGTCGGCAATGCGACCAAAAGATAGAGCATACCCGACTTGATATTCTTGCGTCTGCCAATAAGAAACATATTCCTACATTTAGGAAGGGGTAGACAGGTTGTTCAGGACACCCTGTATAGTTTCAAATATGTTTGAAGGGATAAATGGAAAATTGTAATATACTAAACATACCTACTTCGGAATTATTGAATGACGAAAATCTGAAAGGACATTCTCTACATGTCTCAAAAATATATGTAATTGTTAACGCTAAGAGTTTTTAAATTTTCATCAATTTTTTTTTTGGATTTGATGCCCATATATCTTAGCGGACCCCGCTTTATGACTTATTATTATATTCTTATTATTATTTTTCAAATTCAAAACGTCAGCAGTAGCCTTCAAGGTTTTTAAAAAGAACATAACCTCAATGAAAAAGTATAAAAAGTATAACTACATATGTACTACTAGCAAATACCCGGCATGCTTCACTGCGCCTTAAAAGTATTTTTGTCCGTATTGTAATATTTCATTTATTTTATCAATTTAATTAAATAAGATTTTTCAAACAGGTGGCAACCCTTCTCAAAAAAATATTTTCGACAGTAAACTTTCCTAAACCTCTTCAGTTTGATACCCATATTGTAATATTTTATTTATCTTTTCCATTTAATTAAATAAACATTTTCATAAATGTGGCAACCTCCACAAAAATATTTTTAACTGTAAGCCTTCTTAAACCTCTTTCTTTTCACAGTCATATTGCAATGCATATTTTCTTTATCTTATCAGTTTAATTAAACTGCAATTTTAAAACAAGTGGCAACTCTCTAATTTTTTTCCTTCTATATTTTAGGTTAGACCAATAGAAATACCTCGGTGCAAACTGCATTAAATTTCATGCATTCGTTTTCCAGTGATGCGCGTACAAACATACAAACAGATAGACAGACCAGAGCAACCAGACAGACGGAGTAAAATTCTAAAAATTGTTCATTTGGCTTCTAAGTTCTCTGGTTGTATATACCACAGAAATTGTTCAAAGCGTTCCACTGTTCAATAATGGAACTGCACCCAAAACAAACCCTATTTCAACTGTTCTCAAGTAGCGTAGCCTACAACCTGAGCCACTGCCACAACCCAATAAAACTGGTAACAAACAATCCCCACTTTTAGCTCTTCCCCATAATATGCATGAGAACAGTTTAATTTATCTAATGCTACAACCTTCAGAACTGTTCACATTATTAGAAAAAAATAAAATAAACGCGAATTCTTCACTCACCTATTCAACATTGTTTCATTGCCGTTCTGCAGATGTTGCTGTTGCTGTTGCTGATTTTGTGCCTGATTACTGGCTGCCGTTATTGCTCCACCAGTGGCTGTATTTATTGCCGCCGCTGCTGTTGTTGTGCAATTAGCTGTTGTATTTGTTGTGCCCAAAACAATATTCGCATTTGGTGTTGTTGTGTTAGACAATTGCTTCGACTGTTGCTTGTAACGACTGAGCGCAAAGAAAAGCGCCAACACTGCCTTCAGTCGGCCGGCACAGATGTCATTCGTGGTGATATTATCCACGCCACAAACCGCCTGCGAACGCAGCACATTTAGACAGGAGTTGACGTTGTCGTACTGTATGGGGAGAAAATGTGTGAAGAGTTAAGTGAGGTGAGTAATAAATGGTGAGATTTTCAAAATTGAAATTAAACAAAAAAGGGCAATAAATAA